GCGGCAGTTTCTGAGTATATTCCAGGCCCCGCCTTCCAGTGGAGCGGCGGACCCTCCCAGACCGCGGCCCATGCGCAGGGGCTGCCTCAACTGGCCGTGCGACCCCACCCAAGAACCTGGTCAGCAGAGGAGACAATTTCTACACCCCTATGGCTCCCCCGACCCCCTGCCCAGCCGATTAGCAGACTCGATTGCCTGCACTAAACCGTCTTTAAAAACCCTGTCCCCGAGTTCTCAGGGAGGCGGATTGGGAAATCTCTCCTGCCCCCCCCCCCAGTGCTACGCGGATTAAACTCTGTCTCCGCGGCAGAGCCTGCGTCCCCGCGCCGGCTTCCTCCTGGGCAGAGGGCGAGGGAACCTGGCTGGCGGCAGCTGTTCTCGTCCCCGGCCAGGAAAGCGTCACCTGCCAGGGCTCTCCCGGGAGTGAACGCCCCACCGACAGCCACCAGCACATCCCGCGAGAAACATCCGGCTTCAGCTTTCCAAATCCACGAATGGCGATCGCGTGGGCCGGGAGGCGTGGGACTCCGGGCATGTGCCCAGAACTGGCGTGTTCAGCAGTGAGGGTCCCACTGCCCTTTGGGACTGTCTCAGATTCCTCCGAAAACTGGAAACCACTAGCCGGGGAGTTCCTCGGGCCAGGACTGTGGAAGAGGCAGGTCCTGGCGAGGGGAGACGGACCGAGAGCGCCACACTTAGTGTCCCCTCCTCTGTGCGGGGGCGGGCACCAGCGCACCTGCAGGCAGACACCCCGCCCTGTGCAGGAGGGGGCACCAGCGCACCTGCAGGCAGACACCCCGCCCTGTGCAGGAGGGGGCACCAGCGCACCTGCAGGCAGACACCCCGCCCTGTGCAGGAGGGGGCACCAGCGCACCTGCAGGCAGACACCCCGCCCTGTGCAGGAGGGGGCACCAGCGCACCTGCAGGCAGACACCCCGCCCTGTGCAGGAGGGGGCACCGGCACACCTGCAGGCAGACACCCCGCCCTGTGCAGGAGGGGGCACCAGCGCACCTGCAGGCAGACACCCCGCCCTGTGCAGGAGGGGCACCAGCGCACCTGCAGGCTGACACCCCGCCCTGTGCAGGAGGGGGCACCGGCACACCTGCAGGCAGACACCCCGCCCTATGCAGGAGGGGGCACCAGCGCACCTGCAGGCAGACACCCCACCCTGTGTGGGGGCGGGCACCAGCACACCTGCACAGTCAGTACCTTCCACACTTGTTCCTACCAATCATCTCCCTTACTGTTCTCTGGTGCCCCGGCCTCCTCGATGTTTCTTAAATCCACCCAGATCTTTCCCTCTTTCTGTCAGACATTACCCCAAATATCGCATGTCTGACTCCAGCCTTTAACTTCTTAAATGTCACCAGAGCAGAGACACTTTCAGCTGGGCGAAAGCCGGGGGAGTCTGCGGCCTGCAGACCACACCCCAGCAACGCGGCAGGAAGGTCTCGAGAAAGGAATGTGGCCGGGTGGACGTGCTGATGCCTGGGGAGGGGAGGGGAGAGGAAGGGGTCAATCTGAGGGTGTCTTCAGAATAATTTCCCCTCATTAAAAACTGTTGTTAAAAGACAATTTGAAATTTTAAAAATGAAAATAATAGTTATATGTTTTCAGGTTCATTATACATGTAGAAGCAAAATCTCTTAACAGGAAAAGGATTGCGGTAAGCTTCCTCTGTTTCGTGAGACGTGGCGTCATCGCCGTGTGAGGGACACGGTGACAAGCGGGAATGAGCATCGTGGTCCCCGGAGCAGCCGCCCACGAGGGTGCAGAGAGGGAGAACTGGAAAGGCCACGCAGGGGACAGCGCGAGGTGCAAAACATTCTCGACCAACCTAAAGGACGGTGGCGGGAGAGGACGGGCAGGACACAGGATAAATGGCGAGACGGCGGACCCCACAGAGCCACGCTAATAACTGCGTTAACGTCAATCACCCGCACATTCGAGGCGGGTGGTCAGGAAGGCTAAAAGCACAGCAGGACGCCGGGACACGCTGTTTGCCAGAAATGCTCTCAGGGACAAACAGGATGAGAGCGAATGGATGCAAAACATATTCCAGGCAAATGGTGACCTTGAGATGACCTCAGCCCGTTCCCCTGAGCTCAGCAACACCCGCTTCCCCTTCTTCGGCCATAGCCAGGCATTTCCCAGTATGCCCTGTGCTCACCGGGCTGCGTGCGGCACAGTCGGGCCAAGGGGTGGCGGGTGGAAGGGAGAGGCGGCACCACCAGCCTGCAGAAGCCCCGCCTCGGTGCTCACTTACAGGTGGCTGGAATGGAGGTGACGCTCAGGGCAGGGGCCTGGCATGGAAGGTGGCAGAGCCGTGTGCCAGAGGCAGCTGAGACCAAAATCACTGTGGGAGGGACGCTGGCTGATGTGGGGCACTCACAGTGTTCTCTTAAGGGAGCGAGAGATAGACTTTCTGTGTGTGTGTGTACGTGTGTGTGTGTTTGTGTGTGAGTACATGTTTGTGTGCATGTGTGTGTGTTTGTGTTTGTGTGTGAGTACATGTTTGTGTGCGTGTGTGTGTGTGTTTGTGTGTGAGTACATGTTTGTGTGCGTGTGTGTGTTAGCCCACAGAGATTTCCGTTTATGTCACGTTAATGATACACGGTACTTATACTTCCTTTGTAGCCCACGTTGCTTTCTCGAGCTGTAGATGATGACATGATAACTGTGAATTTGTTTGTCTACTTGGTTATTTGCCGTCTTCCCTCAATAGAACAGTTCCCAAGAGCACGCCGCGGGGACTTGTCTGTCTTGTTCCCCGCTGTGTTACAGGACGTAAACTGCGCCTGGCACGTAGTAGGTGCTTATTGAGTAAATATAAGGATTTTTCCCTCCGATTGTGAAGCCAGAACACTCTGGAAGCCAAATGCCTGTGTGGCCCAGGGACGCCTCCCAGGTCAGCAGCAGGGCAGCCCTGCACGCAAGGAAGCCAGTCACAGGACGTTAGTTTCTGGTCGTTGTCCCTGGATTGATCTGTTATTGACTATGCAAATGACCTCATGCAGGGGTGAGGCGGGTCTGAGTCCTGCGCTGGAGCCGTGTGGACGAGGCCGGGGCTGAGGAAGGTGCCAGAGCCCGGCTTCTGAGCCACCCACCTGGATGCAAAGAGCCTGCTGGGCGCCAGGGCAGGTGTCGGGAATGGACAGGAGGCAGAGGGGAGCTGTGCAGCCCAAGCTAGCCTCTTCGCTTCTCTGGCCTCAGTTTCCCCACCTGCAGCGGCTGACCTGTGCCTGGTCCTCGTTCCTCTGTGGGGTTTTATTTGCTCGGCTTTATTTAATTTCTTACACAGAGAAGATCACTCAGTGCGTTGTTACCTTGTTGATGAAAAAGATCAATTCAAATGTAATTTGTCCGTTCATTAAACTTACAACTTCATACGTTTAGCGCTTCTGCAAGCCTTTAAATTTGGCTTAGAAACCCTGTTCTATCTGCAACAGGCACGTTTTCACGACTTCCTTTAAGAGGCCTCGGTCCCTTCACTGACTTAGTTAATTTAGCAGCTTTAAACATTGTAATTGCATTTCCAAAATTAATGTATTTAAATTTATGCCTTAGCATTTCAGTTGTCTACCTTTAATAAAACCTTCTGAATATAAGCTAATTTTTTAAAGAAATCTAATAGTTTAAACATAAGAATGTGACGAACTTGGGGAAAGTCTCTTAAACGTTCCCAAACTGTACATCCACCCAGCAAGATTTCCCCCTCAAATCACTAACTCGTTCGATGACTCAACCTCACATTTTTAATTGGATCATCAGGTTGTGGCTGTAATAGGCCAAAGACTCTTGAGCATTGCGGATTCTCTGAATGCCAAGCTGACATGGATTTCTTTACGCTGAAATAGTCACACTATGAATTGCAGTCGCTGGAACCCGTCTAGCTCTAGGCAGACAGAGTTATATCTGCTCAGGACGGCAGTCACCACGCAGGCAGCCCCGGTGACCGAGGACCTGGGAAGGTGGGCAGGCTGCCGTGGGCGTCCAGCGAATGCCCCGACAGCCCAGTGTCTCTGTGTTTGTCCTGCCTCAACGCCAGGCCACGGAGAGAAGGTGGCAGGAGGGAGGCCACGCCTCTGGGTTCTGTTTCTGCTCTTCCCCGGAGCCTGCCTCTCCCGGCCACGCTCTGCCCGTACGGGGTCTGGCAGCTCCTCGGCTCTTGAAAGTCAAAGTAAAGGTCTCTGAACGGCTTCAGATTCCCAGGCCCACGGAACTGGCATACACTGTGGAGCCTGAGTGTCACGTGGGTTTGTCTGACTCGGGTCACTGATTCCAATCCTTTCGACACCTGTGTGGGGGCTGCTGGTGGGTGGGAGTTGGGGCACACTGGCCACCTCTGTCTCTAATGGGACTAACCCCAAGGCGAGCCATTGCTTGAGGTTTGAGCCCTTCTCTGAGCTATGTAGACAAAGCGTCCAAACCTGGGCCAGTCCAGCCTGTCCTCTCCACGGGGTGGGGTGGTGGTGGAATGTCCAGTGGCCCCTGGGAGCAATTGCTGCTCTGAAGCTGCTGCAGCCTGAATCGCAGTCCTGCATCCACAGCCCCGATGCACTGGGGCCGGACCCGAGCTGTCACCTCCTCTGCCAATCTCCCAGCCTGGCCGTGCCACTTCCCACCAGTCGCAGGTCTGCTACGGTTGGCACCAAGCCCCTGGGAGCCATCCCCCCAACATGGGACATCCCCCAACTTCCATGCACCGGAAGCCCATGTCCTGCAAGCGAATGGCTCAAGAGCTGGATCACAAACACTCCCTTCCTCCTGACTCCTCAGGGAGTGCTCCTGGCACAGCAGGGCCCAGGGGCTGGGCTGGGCCTCCTCTAAAGACGCACACGGGCCCTGGGGAGGCCCCTTGCGGGGTAGAGCGTGTCCCTGCTGGGAAGTGAGGCCGTTGACAGGAAGCGTGTGGGGCCTGTGGAAGGAGTGGGTGCTGGGTCGTCTCCGCCTCCACTTGGTGCCACCAGGCCAGCGGGAGGAAGTGCCCGCCCCCACCGGGGAAGGGAAACGGAGCCAGAGGTGACAGGGAGTGGCCGCAGCCCCATAAAAGCCAGGGAGCCCCTTCCGTGGCAGAGACCAGAGAGGTAGAGCTGAGCCGCCATGGCCACGCCTGTCCTCCTGGTCATCCCCTTCCTGTGCACCACGGCCCTGGCTGCCGACACCTGTCCAGGTGAGTCAGACCCCAGGTGAGCAGAGGGATCGTGTCCCTGGGAGCTGATGGCCACTTACTGACCACTGCATGCCAGTCCTAGCTGGAAGCTCCTTGTCAACGTTCCGCCCTTATTCCTTTTCAAAAGGCCACTGTTAAAAAGAGGAGACAGACTCTCAAAGAAGCAGGTGCAGCCTCACACGGGGCTGTGAGCAGAACCCTGGAGCTAGCCCGGCCGGGTGCAAAGCCAGGTGCGCAGCCTGCAGACCTCGCCTGGGCTCCGTCTGCAGGGCCAGCGGGGCCTCACCCGCGCCAGGACGTGGAGTGTGTGCAGGGTGCTGGCCTGGGGCAGGCCCTGGTCAGGTTTGGGGCTGTGATGACCGTTTCTGGCCTCCCAGCCTGGCACGGCCCGCAGAGTCAGGCCCAGAACAGTAGGTCGTCCAGTCTGCGATCTGCCTGGCTCTGGGGACAGGGCTCCCACTGTTGCCCTGACATGGCACAGTGTGGGTGCCCAGGTCTGCTCGGGCTCCAGACCTCCTTCCGTTGGGCTCCTGGGGGCCCTCAAAGTGCCCCCCAGCAGCTCCAGCCCTGGGCGCAACCCCCGGGAGGCTCTGTCTCACCTGCTGCTTGGCCACACTGAGGACGTAGCTGTGAGCGCAGCACAGGTGAGCACTGGCACAGGTCCCAGTGGGCACCACGGTCCCTCACGCGTTCATGGTGGCCCAGGGCAAATGACGGTTGCCATGTCACTGCAGAGAAAGACCTAGAATGCCTGCCCCTCCGCTGCTTATGTTACCGTGAGTTAATTTTCTTCGCTAAACGTGCCTTTCCCCCTAATTGTCTAAAATTATTAAGAACTCTTTTTAATGAGCAAAACTAAGGAAATAGAAAACAAAAGTCTATAATTGCTCTGAATAGTGAGCAAGGGGTAAGGACGTACCCAAACTGCACAAAAGGTCAAAACTCCGTGCCTGCCGGGGACTGCATGCCTTTGTTCCTTATTTTCTATGTTGTCTCTCAGGAGCACGTGTTAAAATTGTCACCCACAAAATTTAAAACGTATTTTCCAAACACAGAAACAATCTCTGTCCAGTCCCAGCAGAGCCACAGCTCGCTCTGGGTCCCCGGGGCAGACCCACCCTCTTTCCCGGGGACCTGGGAGACCCCTTGGCAGCCCGGTCACTCTGTGACCACGTGCCAAGGTCGGGCAGCGAAAATACTGGCGTGAACATAAATTCCCTGAGTTTCCTAGAAATATTTATTGTCAATATTTATTGAAACTACCTACTGTTAGTGACGCTTGTCCTAAAGGTCTTGAATTGCATAACATTTTTAAAATTTTGTCCTATAATCGAGCCCTTGCCATAGCCCTGCTACAACCCCCACGTGGCAGCTGAGAGGACAGAGGGGAAGCTGACGTGCCCAGGACGCATGGCACCCAGGAGGGGGTTGCCCTCAGGCAGGGTGGCCTCCGGGTCAGGGCATCACTTCCCTGCCCGACCAGTGCCCCGGGGGGAGCACAGACCAAGTGCCCACCACAGTGGGAAACCGCACTCCCAGGCCCACCCTCCGGCCGAGGCTGGTGGCTCTGGCTGTAGCCACCTGTCCAGACCCGATATCGCCAAGGGGGCAGGTGCCCTCGGTTCCGGTCGCTGGCTTCCCTGCAGGCCTGAGGGCATCAGGCCCAGGGCGACGGCACTGACCCGGCACTCCTGTCTCTGTGCAGAGGTGACGCTGCTGGGCCTGGAGGGCTCCGAGAAGCTCAGCATCCTCCGAGGCTGCCCGGGGCTGCCCGGAGCCCCCGGGCCCAAGGGAGAGGCAGGCACCCATGGAGGGAGAGGTAGGTGCTTCCAGGGGTGGGTGGCAAGAATTGGGGGTTGTCTCCTGCTCTTCTGAACTTGGATGCCGAGGGGGGTGACGCCCACTGGGACCGGGAGCCGTGGTCTGGGCCCACCTCACAGCCAGGGGCAGCGCCGACCCCAGGGTCCAGCGGGGGCTCTGGACGTGCTCGGGCGGGGGCTGCTGTTCCAGCTGGTTCCGGAGCTGCGTCCTGCGCATTTCTGTAGGGCGGTTGCCGAGGCCTTGGCTCCCTGGCAGCTTCACATGAGCCCTGGCGAGACTCTGCAGTGCGTGTTCCTCCCTAGTCTTGCCCAGACGTGGTGCCCACTGTCTTCTCCCCCCAGCTCAGACGAGGAAACTGAGTCCCAGAGGGGCCAGGACCTGCTGGGCTCACACTCCAGTGAGGAGGGGAGCTGAGACTCGCCCGGGCCAGCTTCAGGCATGGCTGGCACCTCCCGCCCAATGAGAGCAGGCCGGCGCCTGCCCAGGGACAGGGACCCGGCCTCATGGTCAACACAGCATGGCACCCAGGTTGCCCCAAAGAGCAGACGGGAGCTGGGGACACCCAACCAGAGCCCGAGCCCAGGTGCAGGCCTGGCCACCAGCACCCGCCACTGTGCAGGCCATGTCCGGGCCCGAGATCTGAGGGTCCCTGGGACCAGAGTGGGCGCAGGGCTCAGGACCCTGCTGCGGGGGGCGAAGGTTCCCAGGAGAACAGTTCAGGTCCCGTTTTCTCAGTGACGCGTGTTTGCATTTCACAGGAGAACCAGGTCCCGCCGGAGCCCCTGGGAAGGCAGGACCCCCCGGGCCCAAAGGTGAGGAGGGGACAACGAGGGGGAGGCCTGAGCAGGATGCTCGGGACTGTGTGTGAAGGAGGGAGGGATAGAGAGGGGCAGAGAGGGAGAGAGAGGGACCTGGTGGTGCCAAGGCCTCCGTGTCCCCTTGCCCTGCACCTGGATCCTGATGTCCTAAGTCCTTGGTGCACCAGTGTGTGGCCCCCTGGGGCAAGAGGCTGGGACTGTGCCGGGCTGGCTGCTGCCTTCCCACGGCCCCCGGAGCAGCTCTGCTGAGCAGAACCCAGAGTCGGTGGGGTCCCTGGGCTGAGGTGACAATCTGGGTGACTCTCTCATCCTCCCGCCTCCCTCTGCAGGAGACCGCGGGGAGAAGGGGCAGCGCGGGGAGAAAGGTGAGCCGGCCGCGACCCGGGAAGGGCTCTCGGATGCCCCATAACCCCGGTGGGGGTGCTCAGCCCCAGGTCCCTGTCCCTCTGGGCTGTGTGGGGACAGTGGGAGGACCCCATGCACTGGGTACTCAGAGCCCCTGGGTCTCAAGCGTGGCATCTGCCAGCCGTTGCCCCAGTGATGGGCAAGGCCACACGATTAGGACATTTAGATGTGGTCATTTGACCTCTTTAAAGTTTTGTCTAATATGTTCATTTATTTAAAAAATAGTAAAAATCAAAAAATCACAAGACTCCCGTGTCTACAGCAAAAAGGACAGGCCTGGGGCACAGGCCCGAGCACCGGTGCCGCCGGCAGGGTCCCCGCGGTGACCTGACTCTGAGGCGCAGACGCGTCTGAGCAGGAATGACCCGGGCCGGGAAGAGCTGACCGGCTGCGACCAGGGCGGGAGGCCAGCGTGGCCAGTGGGCGCTGCAGGATGGGCGCTGCCACCATGGCCCCCAGGAGGCAGGGACGGGGGGGCCAGCTGTGCCTCTCCAGTGAGGCAGCCCCGTGGCCCTAGTCGGAGCTGGAGGTGACCGTGCAGGGAGCACCTGGGGCGCTGCGAGTCCCTGCTCCACTGTGTCCAGGAGCCGTCGGGCTGGTGGGGACCGGGCTCCGAGCTCCCCCTCGTGACGAGTGTCTCCTCTCTCCCCACGAACAGGGGATGCTGCCCAGACTCAGTCGTGTGCCACAGGTGGGTGATCGCCCCCCACCCCGCGCCAGCCCCTCGCTGGGGAGCCCAGGACGGAGCTCTGCGCACCTGCCGGGCTCCCTGGGACACGCGGCCTCTGGCAGCCGCTGCCTGGAGAACCGGCACATCCCATGGCGCTTTGCTTATGTGTCATCGTCTGCCCCAAAGGCCAGGCCCCGGGACACTGTGCGGGGGCCGTGCTGGGAGCTGAGAGGCCCAGGGCCTGGCGTAGACGTGACAGCTGGGGGCCGGGGCCATGTCTCCGTCCTGGTCTCCGTGTCCACCCGCCCTGCAGACCCCACTCCCCTGCCTCTCCCTCCTGGGCCTGCCCCCTCCCCCTGCCACCGCTGTCCTGCCCGGGGCTCCGGGGCCCATGTCCATCCCGGTTCCCTCCCAGGCCCTCGGAACTGCCAGGAGCTGCTCAGCCAGGGCCACGTCCTGAGCGGCTGGCACACCGTCTACCTGCCCGACTGCAGGCCCCTGCCCGTGCTCTGCGACATGGACACGGACGGCGGGGGCTGGACCGTGAGTGCGCGGAGGGTCCGGGCAGGGCGGCCTGGGAGTCCTGGAGACCAGCTCTATGCCTGGCGGGAGAACACTCTGGAATTCTCTGGAATTCTCTCTTGGACTTCTTCCAAGTCCCAGGGAGACCCCCTTCCTTGAGGATGAGGAGAATCAGAAATGAGGATGAGGTGACCCAAGGGTGAAAGTCCAGCCCACAGGGTGAGGCTCGGATGGGGTCTACTGCCCCGGTGCCGTGCAGCGTTGGCCTTGTTGCCTGCCCTCTCTGAGCCTCCATTTCCCCCTTCCTCTCATGGGGTCTGAGATGAGACCAGGTGGCTGTGCTGTGGCACTGGCCTGCAGTGCTCTGATTGACAGGAGCAGTCAATTCCTGCCCCCGGGGAGGCCGGGGCCCCTTGTGCCGGGGACGTCAGCCCAGCCTCCCGTGTCCCGTCCCGGCTTCCGCGCAGGTTTTCCAGCGCAGGGTGGACGGCTCCGTGGACTTCTACCGGGACTGGGCGGCGTACAAGCGGGGCTTCGGCAGCCGGCTGGGGGAGTTCTGGCTGGGGAACGACAACATCCACAGCCTGACCGCTCAGGGTAGGGCCGGGCCAGGGCTGGGCTGGGCTTAGAGCAGCCTTGTCCCTTAGACTGGGCCACCTGGAACGTGTTACCCGTCCCCTGGGCCTGCAGGGGTCCGACTGTGAGCACATAGGTCACACACTGTGATGTCCCAGGACGTTCATTCCCTGCTGCGGCCCCTGAGGTTTGGGGCGAAGGCCTCTGCCAGGCTGGGTGCCACCTGCACCCTAGAAGCTGAGAGTGAACAGGGACGTAGTGGCCTCTGGGGCGTGGCCAAACTCCGGTTCCTTTTCCTCCTCCCACTCTCCTCCTCCTGGAGCTGCCATCTCAGGAGAGTCACTCCCCTCTGGGCTGGTCCTCGCACCCTGACAGCCGGGCCAGCGGCTCCTGGGGGAAGGAGAACACTGTCTGTGTCCCTGCCCACCACCCGAGCATCAGATTGTCCTTGACCCTGGGGAATGTTGTTCCTCCCTCCCCGGTGGCCGGTTACTCGGGTGCCGGGCCCCTTCCAGATAAAGGAAGGACGAGATCAGTTCCCTGTTCTGGGCTAGTGACGGCTTCACAGCCCGTTACAGGGAAACAGTGGTTTCGAAGCAACATTTCGTCACATCAGATAAGTTGGAGTGGAGCAATTTTGGGTGCAGAGGATCGACCAGAGGGAAGTTGGTCTCCAAGGTCCCTCATACGACAAAGGCCTTTGTCGTGAACTTGAGGGAATTTCCCTCGGATGCCAACTTCAGACACTCCCCCCCCCAAAAAAAAAAAAAACCTTAGGCGAATTCCCATCTCCCGTGCCGGAAGGCAGGGGGGCCCTTCTGCTGGGACCCGACACCCTCCCCCGACAGGCACCAGCGAGCTCCGCGTGGACCTGGTGGACTTCGAAGGCACGCGCCACTTCGCCAAGTACAGCTCGTTCAAGGTGGAGAGTGAGGCGGAGAAGTACAAGCTGGTCCTGGGCGCCTTCGTGGAGGGCAGCGCAGGTGCGTGTCTGCGCCGGGCAGGGCCCCCGCGGCGGGGCGGGGTCTGGGAGGCAGAGAGACCCGCTTGGCGTCCTGGCTCTGCCTCTGCCGTGTGACGTCTTGGTGACTTAACCTCTCCGAACCAGGCTCTTCATCCAGACGCTAAGATAATTTACCCACGGTTAATTGTACTTACGGAGACTGTGAAATGCATCTAACAAAAGTGCGGTAAATGGCCGCTACTATTAATTAATTGCTCCCGGTACGGACAGATGCTGGGAAAAGATGAAACTTCAGTGCATTTCTGCAGGGACCGAATTCCCACTCTATGCCACACGGGGCTCTCCTTGGAGGACGGCCCCCTCTCTAAGTGAGAGAATTCCTGTTTGCTGGCAGGCGCAGACCAGACAAGGGGGTGCCAAGGCTACTGTGCCCGCAGAGCAAGAGTTCACTGAGTGGTGTGCCTTGAGTTGTGCAGCGCACAGCGTGGCCACCTGGACGTGGCAGCTCTAAGCTGGGCCCAGGTTCTGGGCTTCCTGGCACTATGTGCAGCATTCTGCATTTTTCTTCTGAGCAGGCGATTCTCTGACATACCACAACAACTTCCCCTTCTCCACCAAAGACCAAGACAACGACAGTGTTGGTGAAAACTGCGCTGTGCAGTACCAAGGAGCCTGGTGGCATGACTCTTGTCACTTGTCAAACCTAAACGGTCTCTACCTCGGGGGGTCTCACGGGAGCTTTGCCAACGGCATCAACTGGAAGACGGGGAAAGGGTACAACTACAGCTACAAGGTGTCGGAGATGAAGGTGCGGCTCACCAGCGCGGGACTCTGACCAGGAGGTCCCCAACAGGCTGGCCGGAGGGGGGCGGATCCCTGAGCCCTCTAAAGGAAGGACACCTGGGATCTTGGCCACTGTCATGGTGGGAGTGAAAGGGCTTCAACTCGTTGCTGTGGGCTGCGACCCGCAGAGTTCTGTGCATTCCCCCGTCCCCAGGGCCACTGTCGCGCCGGACCTCGCGGCAACACGCTACCAATAAAGACAAACGTGGGACACCTTTGTCATTGTGTTGCCTCATCACTGGCCATGTCCCCATGGCTCTCCCAGTGCTCTTGCTGTCCTGTGGTCTGGCACTGCGGGTGGCATAGATGTCCTTAGGGCTGGGAAAGTCTCCGACTGACCAGGACAGGCGTGGACAAAGCAGGACACTCGGTGGCTGTTTGCAAATAAAACGTTATTGCCCACGGCCGTGCCCATGGCTGCCACGTCGTCCGTGGCTTGTTTCCATTTCCCCACGTAGCTGTCAAGCGACAGGCAATGCAGAGTAGTTGGAACACAGACCGAGTGACCTGCAACCCCACGGTCTGTGTAGTCGGCCCTTTACGGAAGTCTGCAGGCCCTGCACTCAGAGGTGACGGCGCCTGTCCCCAGCCTCTATGCCCAGCTGTCCCCCTGACCTGCAGGGCCCAGGCTTCCTGCCACTTGCAGTCCTGGGTCCCTGGGACATCCTCGCTCACTGTGCCTGTGGGTCCCTCATCAGAGATAAACCGAGGACTAAGTGAGGCAGGCGGGCGCTGCTGCTCCCCACACTCGGGAGAGGGGAGGCCTTCCTTCCTCCAGAGCGTCCTCTCGGGAGGGGACGGAGGGCCGTGCCCACAAGGCTGTCATCGCACAAGCACTGGCAACGCCTCCGTTCCTGCCGGTTGCCCAGACAGCTCCCTCACGGCAGAGGGAGGGCAGCCCTCCCGGACTGGGGTCGTTTCCCCCAAGGGCTGCCCTGGGTGGGCTGCCAGCCCCGCAGGACTCCCCTTCCTCTGGGTATCCGGCTTCGCCCCTGTGTCTCTGTCTGTCTCCTCCCAGCGTCTTCTGCCTTTCCTCTGCCCGATTCCACCCCGAGGTGGGAATGCTGCTGGGTCCTGTGTGCTGTTTAGCTAAGATGACATTTCTCAATCTGTGACCCCTGGAGACCTTTGAGCCTCTAGCAAAGACCTAGGAGGGGCTGTGGCCGTGTTAACACGTGCACACACCTGCGGAGGGGCTGTGGCCTCGTTAATAGGTGCACACACCTGCGGAGGGGCTGTGGCTGTGTTAACACGTGCACACACCTGCGGAGGGGCTATGGCCTCGTTAATAGGTGCACACACCTGCGGAGGGGCTGTGGCTGTGTTAACACGTGCATACACCTGCGGAGGGGCTATGGCCTCGTGTTAACACGTGCATACACCTGCGGAGGGGCTATGGCCTCATTAACACGTGCATACACCTGCGGAGGGGCTATGGCCTCGTTAATAGGTGCACACACCTGCGGAGGGGCTGTGGCTGTGTTAACACGTGCATACACCTGCGGAGGGGCTATGGCCTCGTTAACACGTGCACACACCTGCGGAGGGGCTGTGGCCTCGTTAACATGCGCATACACCTGTGGAGGGGCTGTGGCTGTGTTAACATGTGCACACACCTGTGGAGGGGCTGTGGCCTCGTTAACATGTGCATACACCTGTGGAGGGGCTGTGGCCTCGATAACATGTGCATACACCTGTGGAGGGGCTGTGGCCTCGTTAACATGTGCATACACCTGTGGAGGGGCTGTGGCCGTGTTAACACGTGCACACACCTATGGAGGGGCTGTGACTGTGTTAACACGTGCACACACCTGTGGAGGGGCTGTGGCTGTGTTAACACGTGCACACACCTGGGAGGGGCTGTGGCCGTGTTACATGTGCACACACCTGCGGAGGGGCTGTGGCCGTGTTAACACGTGCACACACCTATGGAAGGGCTGTGGCCGTGTTAACACGTGCACACACCTATGGAGGGGCTGTGGCTGTGTTAACACGTGCACACACCTATGGAGGGGCTGTGGCCATGTTAACACGTGCACACACCTATGGAGGGGCTGTGGCTGTGTTACACGTGCACACACCTATGGAGGGGCTATGGCCGTGTTAACACGTGCACACACCTGCAGAGGGGCTGTGGCCGTGTTAACACGTGCACACACCTGCGGAGGGGCTGTGGCTGTGTTACACATGCACACACCTGCGGAGGGGCTATGGCCGTGTTAACACGTGCACACACCTGCGGAGGGGCTGCAGCGCGTTAACATGTGCAGGGAGCTGGGATGAGACTCGGCTCCTGTCTGCAACATGCAGGCCGACATGCACACGGACACGCCCCTCGAGTGTGCGCTGCGCCTCTCCCGAGCTCCACTGTCTGCGTGGCAGCCCGGCCTGCGTGGGAGGGGCCACCAACGCCGGTGGCTGGAAGGTTCCGGGTGGGGTCGATTCGCCCCAGACCTGGGAGGTTGGCTCGGCTCTGACTCCCGTGAGCTGCCTGTCCACTCCTGGCCTTCCCTGGGGACAGGCCCCCGCTGGGCCGGGGTCATCCCTCCCAGGGGCAGCCTGGCCTGAAGGAGTTGATGTGGAGGTGGCACCTGGCAAACCTCCCAGCCCAGCCCCAGCCATGGGACAGCAGATGCCAGCTTCCCGAGTTCTGCCGGCCCTAGCTCTGCGTGGGAGTCCGCGGCTCCCGCCACATGCTCCCCGAGGCAGGTGGGCCTCCGGGGCCCTGGCTCTGACTCAGCCGCCTGGAGCCATGCCCACCTGGCCCTGTGACAGGCACAGGGATCCCTGGGCTGGCCGGGGGCTGGGACTCTCGGCCACCAGGGCCACGTCTTGGCCTGGAAACGGTGAGTAGGGGAGCGTGTCCAGGAGTTCCCAGCCCTATCCTCCACTGCGGGGGCCCCTGGATTTTGCTTTCTGATGTGCTTTTTACTTATTTTAGTTTTTGAGCCCCACAGAAGCACCGGGAGTGGGCGGGCCTGGTGTGATGACTGCTGTCAGCACCCTCCTCTAATTTATTCAGAGCATGTGCTCAGAATGAGCAGGCTGTGGCTCCAGGCTTAGCACCGAGAGTCGGTTTTGCGGCTCTGTCTGTGGGCTCGCACAGGCCGGTCACGTGGGGTAGCGTTTGGGGCCCGTGGTCTCTGGGGTGGCGGGCTGCACCCTGGCCTGATGGCCCCGTGTCCTCCCTGGCTCTGTGGTGTGGTGGAGGGCATGCCCCTGACACCGAGGGGGCTCGCCATCCGGGTGACACGGTCGTCCTGAACCAGGAAGTGGGGGGAACAGAGAGGGCAGGGTTCACTCACAGGTAACCGTGAACCTGGTCCACGCGCAGCTCTTCACTCTTTCCCTCTCCTGGCTCCAGGGTCCCCTCCCTCCAGGACCGTGGGAACTGTGAAAGGTGCACGTCCGCTCCTGCCTGGGCAGGGACCAGGTGCTGAGGGGAGGGTGTGGTCGCTGGCAGGTGCGCGGTGCCGGGCAGGTGGGCCGATCGCCCTTCGACCAGGAGGAAAAGCCTCAAGGACACCTGGGAAGTGGCCACTTTCGTGAGGGCCCATGGGGCCTCCTGGACATGAGACAAGGCGCCGTCTCTAAAGTGTCCAGCTTGAGTAGTTCCTGCAGATGCGCCTGGGAAACCGTGACCACGGCCAAGGCAGCCGACATATCCGCCGCGCCCGGAAGTTTCCGCAGGCCCCTTGGCCGTCCAGCCCCCCAGCCGGCCCCACCCTCTGTGTCCCCAGGCAAGATCTGATCTCCCTGTCACTACAGATTAGCTGCCTTTTCTAGAATTGTGTCTAAATAAAAGCATGGAGTGCGTGCGTGCACTCTGCCGTCTAGCCTCTCCCTCAGCGGACCTGCTCGGAGGTGCGCCCGCCCACGTGGCAGCGCGCAGCCGCCAGCTCCTGCCGCCGCGCCGCCGCGTGCTGCGCCACGCACCAACAGACGGCGGTTGTTCGCCATTCGCTGGCTGTGGACGTTCAGGTCGCTTCCAGTCTGCAGCCAGCACAAGTCACACCGTGGAGCACTCGTGCACGAGTCTCCGTGTGGATGTATGTTGTCACTTCTCCCGGGAGCACGCGCAGGAGCGGAGACGACCGGATCCCACGGGAGGCGCGTGGGCAGTGGGCCACGGAGTTGCAAAGCGGTTTTCTGCCGTGGCTGCGCCGTTCCCTCCAGCAGCGCCGGGCAGACCGGGCCCTCCTCACCCTGCTCAGTCCCAGGAACCGTGGGTCCTTATGGCCACTTTCACGGGGCGCGGTGAAGTCTGACGGTGGCGTCGTTCGCGTTTTCCTCGTGAGTGGCGACTCGAGCCTCTTTCCACGTGCTTATTGCCGTCCGCACGCCGTCCTCAGAGAAGCATCTTTCCAGACCGTGTACCTGCCTTTAAAAATTAGATGGTTTGCTTTCTTTTCCCTGGGCGCCAAGAGTTCTTTCTGTGTTCTGAACACGAGCCCTTTATCACGATGTAGGGAGTATTGGTTTTCTATCGCCGCCGTAATGAATTGCCACAGAGTGAGAGGCGGAAACCGACACCAATTGATTGTTTTGCACCGAGCTGCTCACAGCCTGGCCCGATCCCCTCCCCTCGAGTGCAGACAGGCCGTGGCCGCTTCCAGCAACAGGGGATAGGGAAGAGGCCTTGGGTGTGCCGTTGTGTGCACACGATCACTTTGCACGAGACGGCGGTTCTTCCCTTGCCGGTCTTGCCGGAGTCTCTCTCCCTTGTCGTCTTGGAGGGAGGAAGTAGCCACGCCGGGGAAGCCCACGGGACAGGAGTTACAGGCATCCTCCAGCCACCGACCTGCAAGAAATGAATTCCTCGCTCCTACAACCGCAAGGGACTGGCTTCTGCCAACGAACTGGGTGAGCTGAAAGATCACCCCGTAGTTGAACCTCCGACGTGACCATGGCCCCGGCTGACACCTGGAGACCCTCAGCCGGGGACTCCGTTAAGCTGTGTGTGGACACCTGGCCCACAGAACTATGAGATAATGAAAGCGATCAGAAAAGACAACAAGACGTGGTAGCTTGTTGCCTTCCACTCCTTGCTTGCTCAGAGCCTGTCCAAAAGTCTAGAATGGACAGAGCTTATCAACTATGTTTCCAAGGTCTTTTTGTTTGTTTGTTTTTGAGATGATAGTATGGTTTTCCTTTGTTAGTTTACTAAGATGAAGAATGACATTGATTTTCAAATGGTGAACCAGCCTTCCGTCCCGG